TACAGTCCCAATAGAGGAGTGATGGTGAAAGTGTCGCTTCTTTTTTGGATCAACCTACCTCAGTGGGAGACAGCCAATACTTTAAAAGAGGAAATGCATAACCATCATTTACCCCATCATTCTTTTGCTAGAATTGCTCCGACTTCACAATTCAGGTGCTCTACAAACTACAATACCCTCACCCCTCCTTCAGTGTGCAGGCAGTGTACTTCCCACCTCCAGGACTTCAGTCCAGCTAACTGTATGGATATATGTATATTGCATACAGAAAATGACTGTACTGAAAGGAGTCATCTAAATTTATTATAGCTTAAGTTATATGTACAGTACAAATATATTAAAAGAGCATCAATTTTGTTGAAAATTATTTTCCTTGCAGAGTAATATAGGGTTAGCTTTTATATTTATATCCAAGTCCTCTTATGATACAGAGTAAAATTTGTCATATACATATACAGTAGGACAGCAGCTCACCTAAGTGCCTGACTTGGTCACATGACACAGCTGGTATTCACCCAACTGTGTCATATGACCAAATCAAGACAACTTAAAATATTCATGGATTTGATTTCAGGTGCTCTGGATTTGATTTTAAATGGGTGGGGGCTGTTGCAGGTCGAAGGGCCATTTGAAGTGTGATGTCCACACACTTCTGGCAAGACAACAATTGAGTGACAATGAAAGTATTTCCTTCTCTGGGTCATCCTACCTTCATGGGAAAAGGAAAATGGGGTAAAAAAAAAATGCATCCATTCATATAAAAGTAACATTACATAACAAAAAATAACACCAATTTGTACTCTTTCTTACTGTTTAACCCTTAAACTGTCCAAATGTAGATATACGTTGACGTGCGGCAGGCTCCAAACGTAGATCTACGTTTTTTTACATGCTTTCAAATGGGGAAAATCAAGGTCGGTGCACTACGCATATGAATGTAGATCTACGTTTGGACAGTTTAAGGGTTAATGAAGATCATTCTAACTGATTAAGCCCAGATAATTACCATGCAGTTCACTCTGGATATTTAATAAGACAATATATGACTGATCCAAAATGTATGAAAGTCATACTGTTATAATTATCATAAATTCAGAATAAGAATGGGCTTATTCAAGTTCCATTTTTATTGTAGATGAAGACTTTTCCTGGTAGATTCAAGATGAACAAAGATATAGAAAGAAGTGCATAAAAATAAACTTTATATGAAACTACTATTACATTTACTATATTTCAATAGCAATATGAAATTTTATTGTCACATAAAGAGCACTACTGAAATTTAGGTATACATGTATATTCAACTACTGTACAACATGAGGCTGGCTACTCTATAAAATTTAATTCAGCTACCAAAAAAATATTTAAAACAATACATTAGTTTCTTATGAGCAATACTAAATAGTTATTCTAAATACACCAGCCACATACATGCATGAAATATGGACCATACAAGAAATCTTTATAGATTTAATTTGAAATATTAAAAGAATATGTAAGATGAACCAACAATAAAAGCACTGAAACTTCACTACTGACCAGCTTGCATATGTTGAGCAAGGTCCATGGTACTAGTCTGTCCATACTCTGACGCAGGTAGAAAATTTCTAGTGGAGCAAACAAAAACAGAAACCCACATGGCACCCACACTAGGACCGTCTGCTCGAAACATAGTGTGAAGTCTGGATCATTTGAATTCCAAGTGATATTCAAATCCTGAAATAAAATAAAATGTGGGGATGAAGTAATGCTTTACACAAATGATAATACGAATAGTATTGATTGATTGGGAAGATTAATTTGTTTCAAGATAGAAGTTCAGGGCTACAGAAGAAAAGAAAAACATCCTTAGTACAATAAACACTTATCACAATCTAATCAGCCAGAGACATCATTTATGATGCAGATACTGTAAAAAACTGTATTTCCATCAGACTTTGATAATCTGAAATAAAAATGAAAAAGAAGTGTATTTGAAATAGAGCAAACAATGACAGCAAATAAGTGAAAAGGAATGGAAATAGTTGGATAACCACTGATCATGCTGGTATTTTTCAGCATTCTAATACTACACAAATTTAGATGTATTTTTGAGCATTCTAATACTACACCTTAAACTAACACAATCCAAGAAAGGTATCCCTGTATTCCATAAGCTCAGTCTCCTCTAACTCAATGAATGAAAAAGGAATAATGGAGGGCAATTATAATATTCCAATGCAGCAAAATATAAAAACATGTACATGTGTGTATATGTTTGTGTACATGAATTTCTACATGTATGTGTGTTTTCATATGTACACAGTACATGTGTGTATGTATTTGTGTGTAGATATGCATATGTGTATTTAATTTATGTTTGGAACTTTTTTATATGTATGAATGTGCAGATGTACTCACCTATTTGTGGTTGCAGGGGTCGAGTCATAGCTCTTGGCCCCGCCTCTTCACTGGTCGCTACTAGGTCCTCTCTCCCCCTGCTCCATGAGCTTTATCATACCTCATCTTAAAACTTTTGACATATAGTTCCTGCCTCCACTACATCACCGCCAAAACATTTCACTTCCTAACAATCAGTGACTAAAGAAATACTTCCTAACATCCCTTTGACTCATCTGAGTCTTCAATTTCCAATTGTGACCCCTTGTTTCTGTGTCCCCTCTCTGGAACATTCTGTCTCTGTCCACCTTGTCAATTCCTCGCAGTATTTTGTATGTTATCTTGTCTCCCCTGACCCTACTGTCCCAGTGTCATCAGGCTAATTTCCCTCAACCTTTCATCGTTTCTGACTCACTGAGTGAGAGCAATTAGGTCATTTGAGGGTGTTCAAGTCTCTCAGATATTGTAGCATTGAAAATCCCCCAGGATGCGACCCACAAGAGTCGACTAACACCCAGGTGCTTATTTACTACTAGGTGAACAGAGGCAACGGGTGTAAGGAGACTTGCCCATACATCTCGTGTATAAGAACATGTGCATACAAATGTATACATGTGCATATAGTACATGTATGTATGTACATACCTGTAAATGTATATGCATGCATGTGTGTATTATGTGCGTGTGTGTGTGTGAATGCATAAATTTATGCATGTATTTTTCTACACAATAGACCCCTGGATGTCTTCAAGAAGGCACTGGACAGGCACCTAAAGTCAGTACCTGACCAGCCAGACTGTAGTTCATATGTCAGTTTGCGTGCTGCCACCAGTAACAGCCTGGCTGATCAGACCCTAATCCACCATGAGGCCTGGTCTCAGACTGGACCGTGGGGGTATTGACCCCTGAGACCCTCTCCAGGTCTACTCCAAGTATACCTGCATGCATGTGTACATAAGAATGTGTGAGAATGAATGCATGCATGTACATGTGTATGTACACCTACCATCCGACTTACGACCTGCTCGACTTACGACCACTCGACTTACGACCGTGTTTTTCATGCCAAATTTACATAAGAACATAAGAAAGGAGGAACGCTGCAGGAGGCCTGCTGGCCCATACTAGGCAGGTCCTATACAATTCATCCCACTAACAAAACATTTGCCCAACCCAATTTTCAATGCCACCCAAGAAATAAGCTCTAATGTGAAAGTCCCACTCAAATCCAACCCCTCCCACTCATGTACTTATCCAACCTAGATTTAAAACTACCCAAAGTCCCAGCCTCAATAACCCAACTAGGTAGACTGTTCCACTCATCAACTACCCTATTTCCAAACCAATACTTTCCTATGTCCTTACTAAATCTAAACTTATCTAATTTAAATCCATTACTGTGGGTTCTCTCTTGGAGAGACATCCTCAAGACCTTATTAATATCCCCTTTATTAATACCTATCTTCCACTTATACACTTCGATCAGGTCTCCCCTCATTCTTCGTCTAACAAGTGAATGTAACATACGAGTCTTCAATCTTTCTTCATAAGGAAGATTTCTAATGCTATGTATTAATTTAGTCATCCTACGCTGAATGTTTTCTAACGAATTTATGTCCATTTTGTAATACGGAGACCAGAACTGAGCTGCATAATCTAGGTGAGGCCTTACTAATGATGTATAAAGCTGCAATATGACCTCTGGACTTCTGTTGCTTACACTTCTTGATATAAATCCCAGTAATCTATTTGCCTTATTACGTACGCTTAGGCATTGCTGTCTTGGTTTAAGGTTGCTGCTCACCATAACCCCCAAGTCCTTTTTCGCAATCTGTATGGCTAAGTTCTACATCATTTAACTTATAAGTACTAGGGTTATGGCACTCCCAAGCTTCAGAACCTTGCATTTATCTACACTGAACTGCATCTGCCATTTTTTCTGACCAAGAATAGAGTTTGTTTAAATCCTCCTGAAGTTCCATAACATCTACGTTTGAATCAATTATCCTACCTATCTTTGTGTTATCGGCGAATTTGCTCATATCACTAGTAATTCCCTCATCAAGATCATTGATATATATTATAAACAACAACGGGCCCAAGACTGATCCCTGTGGAACGCCACTTGTTACAGATCCCCACTCGGACTTAACCCCATTTATGGACACTCTCTGCTTCCTGTCAGTGACCCATGACTCGATCCACGAGAGCACTTTTCCCCCAATGCCATGAGCTGCCACTTTCTTTAACAGTCTATGGTGCGGAACTCTATCAAAAGCCTTACTAAAATCTAAGTAAATAATATCAAATTCTTTATTGTGGTCAACAGCCTCAAAAGCTTTACTGAAGAAAGTTAATAAATTAGTTAGACAAGACCGGCCTCTTGTGAATCCATGCTGAGTATCATTAATCAAGCTATGCTTATCGAGATGGCTTCTTATAACCCAGCTATAATTGACTCTAGTATTTGCCTACAATTGAGGTCAGGCTTATTGGGCGGTAATTTGACTGTAACGACTTGTCCCCTGTTTTAAAAATAGGAATTACATTAGCCATCTTCCACATATCAGACACTACACCTGTTTGAAGAGATAAATTAAAAATATTAGTTAATAGTTCACAGAGTTCCATTTTGCATTCCTTAAGAACCCTTGAAAAAACCTCATCAGGACCCGGCGACTTATTTTGCTTCAGTCTGTCTATCTGCTTCACAACCATCTCACTAGTGACTGTGATGTTACATAATTTATCTTCTTCTAGCCCACTGTAAAAAATTAATTACTGGAATATTGTTAGTGTCTTCCTGTGTAAAAACTGAGAGAAAATAATTATTTAAAATCAAGCACATTTCATTCTCTTTGTCAGTAAGGTGCCCATAGTTATTTTTAAGGGGACCTATCTTATCTCTAACTTTTGTTCTATAGACCTGGAAAAAACTTTTTGGGTTAGTTTTAGAATCCCTAGCAACTTTAATTTCATAGTCCCTTTTAGCTTTTCTTATCCCCTTTTTAATGTCCCTCTTAATGTCAATATACTGATTCATAAGATGACCCTCACCTCTTTTGATACGCCTATAAATTCCTTTCTTATGCCCTAGTAGATATTTGAGTCTATTATTCATCCATTTTGGGTCATTTCTATTTGATCTAATTTCTTTATATGGGATAAACGCTCTTTGAGCAGCATGTATAGTGTTCAGAAAACTGTCATATTGATAGCTCTCTTCGTTACCCCAGTCAACAGATAAGTGTTCTCTAAGCCCATCGTAATCTGCTAAGCGAAAATCTGGGACTGTTACTGAGTTATCGCTACTATCGTACTTCCATTCAATGCTAAAGGTAATTGATTTGTGGTCGCTAGCACCCAGTTCCTCTGAAATTTCTAAATTATTAACAAGGGATTCATTGTTTGCCATAACTAAGTCAAGCAGGTTATTTCCCCTTGTAGGTTCTGTCACAAACTGCTTCAAAAAACAATCCTGAAATACTTCTAAGAAGTCGTATGATTCTAAATTCCCAGTCAAGAAATTCCAATCAACATAACTAAAGTTAAAGTCTCCTAGAATTACTACATTATCATGCCTTGTGACCTTAACAATTTCCTCCCATAGTAGTTTCCCTTGGTCCCTATCTAAGTTTGGGGGACGGTATATCACTCCTAAAATCAGTTTTTCATGCCCCTCTGAAAATTCTATCCAAGCAGACTCTGTATGTGTTACTTCAGACTTAATACCCGTTTTTATGCAACAGTTCAAGCAATCTCGGACATACAATGCAACCCCACCCCCCTTCCCAATACTTCTATCTTCTTGGAACAATTTAAAACCCTGAATATGACATTCCGCAGGCATGTCCTGACTTTTTGAATTAAACCACGTCTCAGTTAAGGCAAATACATCAATGTTACCTGCACTAGCAACTAATCTCAACTCGTCCATCTTATTCCTAGCACTACGGCAATTAGCATAATAAACATTGAAAGACTCTCCTTTCTCTTTACCCTTCCTGCTCATTTCTATTTTTCTACTAAACCTATTACTGTCCTTATCACCCAAGGTCCCTGGCTTTTCAATATCTACCTCGTTCTTATTATTACTAGTTCCCCTATTACTCGTAATATTACTACACTGGGACTTCACTGTTTTCCTGCCAAAACCCATACCACTAACTACTCCTAGTTTAAAGTCCTAACTGCTCCCTCCACTGCAGTTGCCAGTGCTCCCACCCCACACCTAGATAAGTGAACCCCATCCCTGGCATACATGTCATTTCTGCCATAGAAGAGGTCCCAGTTGTCAATGAATGTGACCGCATTTTCCTTACAGTATTTGTCCAGCC